GTGATACGACTACTATGATTTAACGTACCTATCATACGGCGGTATTAACGACGGTGTACCTACGAAACGTGTCAGAAGATGATAAATCACGTCGAGTATATGCAATGGCTTATCCATAGCCTGCCAACATGGATCCTATTAAACAATACGGCGTGTAAATAATATTACTTGGAAATAGTGATGATCAGACATTAGAAACAAAGGAATTCCGATTGTTTTGGTATTTGGTGATTTCTTTAAACAAACCATTCGACACTGGTAAGTAAGTCCTGTGAAAATGGCTATTCATACTAATAATACTTGCATTATTATCTTATATATCAGTATAAAGTACAACAAAGAAGGTATTTTTACCTTGGCCTTAAATAAACGATCATAAACGCCGTGAAGGACTGGTAACGGGATACCAATCTCCAGCATGGTTTGGAAGACCCAGGCTGGATCCAGGTTTAACTCGGCGCTTTTTTTCTCTAACATCAAGATTATCGAACCTAGAAAAAAAGACCGTTTAATTTACAGCAAAAAACAAACAGCAGTTCTCCCGTCGTCCATTGACCTTTTAAAGTTTAAAGTACTACTTACCGAGAGGAAAGTATCGTTCAGAATGGACATAGGTCTTGCCTAATGTGACAATCTTTTTGCTTAGAAGTGTCACGCGATCACTCGATGGACAATGAGCGGAGTCGCGCAATTCTAGGGACGAAATTTTTTAATCGTAAATAGAATATAAATAAAGCATTGGAATTTTAGTGTAAGAGCTCTGGTGACCAGGAGACAATATCTCACACAGGAGTAATAAACCATCATTTTGTAGCTACAATTGTAATTTATTTCCACACTACCGCTATTATAATACATTATATTAATTATATACAGCCTTTTGCAAAAATTATGAGAATTGTCTAAATATCTAAATATCATAATATCCATATCCATATATTGTCCGGAACACGCGGGTTTGCTAGAATAATTCATTGTTGACTTCGAGAAAATGTTCAGAACTACGGATAAGTCTGTCGACAAAAAAAACCCTAAACTACAAAGACAAGGGACTAAGGGCATCGCGCGGGACCATGCACTTGATATAATGATATTTATATATTTCAGCAATTCTCATAATTTTTGCAAAAGGCTGTATAACAATATATTAATACATTATAATTACGCAGTTGTCTTTACCTTTATCTAATATCTCTTTCCAAAGTGTTTCAATAAGCGTWGGGTCGTAATGACCTGCGCAGTGGACGATAGCCAGTTTGCACTCGGCCAGCATGAACACATCCGCAAACTCTCCATATAACTGTTAAATAAAAATCACTTTTAATGGTTGGACTGCCTGTGGTGCCAGTTAGTACTAAATAGGACTTATAGAACAATAAACATTCAATTGAGGGTTGCCATAGTGACAGTTACCGTAGTAACATCCATAAGTCTGTCGTTAAGCATAGTCAAAGCATCATTGATGTTTCTTGATTGTCGACTTGTGTTCATTCGTACAAGAGCTTGATAAACTTGAATCTGAATTCGGGCAACCTGCAAGTAATGAAAYGTAGGTAAGAAATCAAGTTCTAAGGCAAATATAGTTCATCAGTGACTGACCTCTAGCTTTTCTTCAAGTTCATGTAGGAATTCTCCCTCAGAGCTTGAGCTTGTTCTCAGATTGCTGCTCTTTGCACTCATGATGGCTCGTGATAAGTACTCGAGACGCTGTTCAAGGTTAATACCCTGACTGTAAAAAAAACCATTCTACTTGTTACTTTATCTATCATTTGTCATTGAATAGACTTTTGAACCTTTTACGTCACTACTTGATATTCAATGCATTGTGGGATCAGTTTCTAAAGAAACAAAAGAAATCCGCCATGATGTTCTGTCCCAAACCATCTATCCTACAATGCATTGCGTATACGGTACATGACGTAAAAGCTTCAGAGATCTATAGACAGCTTATTTCAAGGTTAAAATTGTCAGAGATTGAAAGTTATAGTTGGTAATTATTTCATCTATCAAAAGCAATAAATATTGTGCTTAGGTGGTGTGTTTTCATACTTTTGGTATTGCATTCCCAAATATTTCCAGAMATCTTTTATGAAAAAGCTACAAATGAAACATTTGAGAAACCTCCACGTCTTACAAGTATTCAAATCATCACTGAAAAACTACTTACCCTTCTTTCTCAGCGAGTTTTGAGAGAATCCTGGCAGCGCCATAGTGGTTCTTTGTCTTCTCGTAATATCTCCACAGTAGATCTAACATCTTCTGGTCATTGGGATGCTAAAACACAACATTATGAGAAACTTTTGTGTCAGATTGTGCACCATTGTATAGTTTGTATAAAAAATAGTGCATTTCTCTGTTAAAACTATTAGCTGATTCTGTTGCTTACTTGRTTTGCTGCAGACTGCTTTAAATAAGTTTCTAAATATGAAGACTTGACCTGTTTAGAAAAGATAATTATTACTCCATAAAATACAAAAAAAAATGCAAGATCTAATTAGTGAATGGATAAATGGATGAATGAAATGAATAAAAGAATATTTAAATAAGAATGAACAAATGGATGAATGAGTGGATGGATGATAAATATCCACAAATTGAAAAATATAACTGCAAGGCGAATCACTGCTCAAACCTCAAGAAGTTTTTCCATCAAGTTGTTGTCAATCAGCCATTGATACAGACAAAGGTGCCATAATTCATCATTTGAYGCCAGTGCCAGTGAAAGGGTGTGGTCCATCTAAAAGRCAGTACARTTTACRCCATTACATTATAACAGTATTGGYYGTCATACTTAGCCTACATACCAATAAAATAACTATTGACAAATAAAAGTCTCATTTCCTCACATATTGTTCAGCTGCTTCTGGTGTCAGTGCATTGGGGTCTGGTACTGGTGGAGGGCCTGGCCGGGASGGTAATCCAGGAGACTGGTGTTGAGACTGTCTGGCTGTTAGTAATCTTTGCAGACAGTCTGTTATACAYTTGTAGCAACATTTCCTGAGGAATTCACATAATAATTATTTCAATGAGCAAACATATACTACTTTAATGTTGTAATTTTAATAGCAACAGATGCACAACACTAAAAACAAAACAGCAACAATGACAGCAAGCTCAGAAACATCATCAACATCAACAGCAGAATCACTGCCATCTTAAGCAGACTTACAACGTAGAAGCAGCACATGACACGCACATGACAACAGCAACTTCAACAGTGACAACATCTCAGATTAATAATAGCTGGATAAAAGAGTACCTTGCAATCATGGCATCTTGTCCTTGAACATCACCATGTGTTTCACCATTTTTGTAGAAATGTAAAGCAAGACCCTGTGGATCTGTCTTWAGGGCAGCATAGAGAGCTAAATCAATCACACCCTCGTAGAAATGAACTGAAATAAACAATGGTTTGTATATTGGATATACTGTAGACATGGTGATACATATTGGATATACTATAGACATGGTGATACATATTGGATATACTGTAGACATGGTGATACATATTGGATATACTGTAGACATGGTGATACATATTGGATATACTGTAGACATGGTGATACATGTAGGATTAATCACAATAAATAATATATTTACCAGACTCAAATATTGAGCAGATAAGTTCCAGGTTGACTTGATGAGTGACTTGACGATAACACTATAAAACCACAACAAACTATGTTATTACAGGTAATACCAACATTTAGTTTGTGAAAATAATAGAATTAGTGTCAAGTCAGAGAAAAYACAATATTATCCACCTGTAGRGCATCTTTGAGAAGCCTTGATTGGTCACTTTTATTGACAGTTTTCTTAGCAAGTGTTAAAAGTTCWCCAGCCTAAAAAYATGCAACAACACAAGTAACAAACCTTCAKATCAMAGTTGTMCAKWGYAATATCATTSWAGAACATTCAAACTAACAACACAGTAACAAGCAGTCTTAGTTGTATGATTTTATACCTTTGTACAGACAGCATCAGAGTCACTATACAGGCTAGGACACACATCTCTTAATCTCTCACTGATGGCATCTGTAGAACTGCTATCCTCCACATAACAGTTCATTAATGACGATATTAGAGAGTTACAGACCTGAAAAGAGTATTAATTAAAATATGTGTATTGAGTTTGTATCAAGTGTATCAAATGTGTATCGAGTTTGTATCGAATGTGCATCACACGACAACGACAGTACATTGTAAGTATATATTACATCTACACATCTACATCTACACTGTACAGATAAGACACAGATAACCAAGTATACCTTAGTTACTGAATGTACAGGCTTGTATTTTCCTTACCTCAGGTCTAGAAATAAAYTCCCTGAATTTCATRTGYCGWAGTTTCTCYCTTGCAGTCTGAAATAAAAATGACATCTTACAAGCAAACCTATGATTGYTTTGTTGTGCTTATTTGTTATTGTTAAATKAAAWTTTAATGATCATAACATGGTTGCTTTTCTATGTTCATGTTTTTTTATGWGTTTAGAATGTACTTGCTTGAATTTTGAAACTTGTCTGTCTGTCTGTCATTTTGACGTTGAATGTTTTTGTATGTTGGTAAACTTCTTTAGATAGTCACAATAGTCTCTGAATTATCAGAATGTTTTCTAGTCCAACTTACTGTATCCATACGAGAAGTGATATCAACAAAGTCATGTTCACATAGTAACTGCCACAACCCAATTGCTTCACAGCACAAATCAACCAGCTTCTTTAGGTTATTCAAAGCTTTTCTCTCTGCTGTAAAAAGTCAATTGAACAATTCATGGTGATTGTTTAACATTATCCTTCAATTCTTTCTTTGTTTTTGTCTCAATCAGCCACCAGCTTAATTCTGACAGTAGTGATGGACATGGATAAACCACTGAATCACTGATTGGCTCAAAATTTTGACAAAAAATGATTGACAAGTTGATTATGTACCTTGATGTGATTTCTGGAAAGCAGAYTGGTCAGCCATAATGGACACATTGATGAAACTAGAAGTTAAACAGGTTTTACAGGTTTTCTATTAGTTAATTCATGTACATAAAAAGCTTACATTGCTACAAGTATACCTGCTGTCAATGTGAGGTGCTGGAAACTGCAGGTTTTTGTCCATCCATTGCTGTAGTTCTTTCATCTTTTCCAGGAACCATGATAGTTGTTCACATGTGAAACGACTTCTGAATATCAATGGTGGCTGGAAAAAAAACATATCTAATTATTAGATTATTAGTTAATTATCAGCCATAGGAAGTACTCCTGACCAATAGGAGTTTTGTTTGTTTATTTTTTATGTATCTAGCCAATGACCTCAAAGAACACAGGAAATAATCATCATTTTTAGGAACACAACTGTAATATCTTTTTTGCATTATTTGACTTGATAATTATGAACAAAAGTTTCTTGAAGTCAATTCTCTGATTAAAAGCAATTCTGACYRACCTTTGTATTTCCTGGAGTTGGTTGAACTAAAAAATCTTCGTAAACCACTCTTCCATCCCATAGTGTTCTAAAAAAAATACACAAAGTCTTTCATTACCAATAAAATATGATATGAAGATTTGCATCTTTGAATAATGCAATTAGTCCTAACTTAATATGAATGCAACAAGATCAAACAGGACAATCATCATATGACACCACATAGTAAACAGCACAATTTCATTGACACACAAGAGAAAGACTGCAAAATATACATTATATAATGTATACAGCCTTTTGCAAAAATTATGAGAATTGTCTAAATATCTAAATATCATAATATCCATATCCATATATTGTCCGGAACACGCGGGTTTGCTAGAATAATTCATTGTTGACATCGAGAAAATGTTCAGAACTACGGATAAGTCTGTCGCCAAAAAAACTAAACTACAAAGACAAGAGACTAAGGGCATCGCGCGGGATTACCCATCATGCACTCGATATTATGATATTTAGATATTTCAACAATTCTCATAATTTTTGCAAAGGGCTGTATCATATTTCACAATACATATTCATTACAATAACAACAAAATAACACAACATCATAATACAAAAAAAACAATACAGCATTACACAACAAACATTTTACCGTACCCTAGTATTCTAGCAATGTAAAGACATAGTCCTTCGTGTTTAGCTGACTTGGTAAAGTCTGGATGGAATACAGCCCGTCCTGTCATTCCTCCTTGTACAGCAGTTTGGGGTGTTGATGTTGTGTAGCTTTGAATTAACTGCTGATTCTGAAAACTGATAGCAAAAGGTTTGAGAGAAAGGCCCAAGGTTATGAGAGTAAAATGTAATAGTTTGTGTTGTTTTACAGTACCTTGTTGGCATAGGCTGTGGTGTTGCCAAGTAACTACCCCCATGAGTTCCACCAGGTACAGTGGTGTCCAGGAAGGATGGCTCTACAGCTGATCCATGTACAGCTACACCACTATCAGKAGCGCTGCTTGGTCTGTGGTGCATTTCTCCACCATACTTAAAGAATGCTTGTGTTGCCCACTCTGACACCTAAATATTAATAAAATCGATGTTTTAAAATCTATGTGCATACAGCTATAGGTGCATCAATGAAGCATATAGCGCTGTGTCTGTCATCAATATTTACCTGTTGATCGGTAGACTGGCTTGAACAAGCCAACACTAAACAAATTGCACAAGCTTGATCTTCCTGTAAAACATACAATACAGTATGTCAATGGAATTAATCAAATGAAAAAATTAGTGTGAATATTACCTTATGGAGTTTGAAAAAAGACTGAACAGCTTCAGAGTCAAAGCCTTGTGAGTAAGCAAGCAGTTGGTGGAGTTGTTCGACAGGTCGATAACTTGACATCAAGTAACTTCCCTGTTAATCATAGTCAATGTCGTCGTCATGGTTATCACAATGAGATTATTTAACAACAAAGTATTTAAGATATCACAAAACCTTCAGTAAGATGCTTGTCATTACATCTTGTATACATTACAAACAATGTACAATAAAATATTTTTCTTAGTACCTGAGCGCTGAGTACTACAAAAGACCTCTGTGGCAATGCATGTTGTTTTACTACCACTGGTGGTTCAGGCCATTTCTCAAACAAGACAGGACAAGGACTGACCAGGTTTGCAGCAAAATCAGGCACCTCACTTACAGCCCATGTATGACCATCAAGAGGTACAGTTACCTACAAAATATGGAAGGGATTATTGAGAGAGAGATTTATATTTATTAATGAAAATGGATGGATGAATAACTGGATGATTGAATTGATGCAAAGTGATGGGTACATGGTTTATTATATGACTAAATGTATGGATCAATAAGTAAGTGAGAGAAAACAGGGATGAAAATAGGGGAGAAGGAAGTATCCATTCACCTGCATTTCTTTGAGAGGAGTCTGGAATGGAAATGGATCAGCACTGGATACCCAAAGCACATCTGTTTCTTCAGTGTGAGATGCTGTTAGCAAACTAATTCCTAAAACAAGTACAAAAGCAAACTGACATTCAATAAATACACACAAAACCAACAGAAAATTTACAAAGTGACGCTTACCTTGTCTATAAAATGCTGCATGTACATTGGTAGGTCTTGATGACGTAGCAGAGGGTGCAAAACCAGGTGGCATGCGTACATGAACCAGTGTGAGTTTGCTGGGTCTTTCCAGYGTATTGTTGAATGGTATTGTACAGAAATACAGCCGCACACCTGAGTGTGTTACAGCTACTAAATGAATGTGATCTGACTCACTTCTTGATACAGGTGCAATATGGATTATCGGCTTGAAGTTATTGTAATCAGACGTCCTTAAAAAGAGGGAATGATCGTCATTTCCAGAGAGATAATATACAGTAGTATACTGTAGATCTAGATTAAAATATTTTGTGTTTTTTTTGACGATGCATTTCTTTACCTTGTTGCAGCAGCAGCTTTGTGTGCAATGCTGTCTTGATTCATACTTGCAATATAGGAAGTATCAAAACCACTTTGTCCCAAATCATACACTTGTATTGTCCCTCTCTCTGATCTTGTATACAGAATATTTCTTGTATTATCCACAGCAAGTTGGCAAAGAGGATCTATGTAGAAATGAAAATTTGAGCGACAATATTAAGATGATGCTGAATGATTGTTATGACGTCATGATGAATGGGAAATAAAATAATGCACAAATGGAAGGTAAAGGAAAAATGAAAGACTGAACAAATGAATGGATAAATAAACAGATGAACAATTGGATAAATAGGGCTTAGATGTTTGAGTCTATTCTTACCTTCACTAGAAACATTGAGAAAATTTGGCACAAGATACGACAGTGTACTTGAAGAGTGATTGATTTTACGGCACTTTCTTTGAAACCAGCTGTCTTTTGCCTGATGGAAAGAATAGGAAAATTAACATACAAATGAAGAGAGTACTTCTGTTTGCAAAACAAATCAAAACAATAGAATTAAAATATATACAAACTATATGTTTACCTGATAAGCAATCTCATACAAGCAGCCATCTTTTCCACCCATAAAAATCCTTCCATTGAATGTGCCACTGATGCATGTCATGTAAACATTGTCGGATGGAATGGTGAACAGTGGGTCAGGCTGGAGATGCATTTCAGCAAAGCCATCCTCTATTAAATTTCCTACAAAGTAATAACATTTTTGGACTTAMACAAAGTACAAAACAAATCAGTTTGAACTTAAACTTTACCTTTATTTCTGGATGTAAATGTTACAGCAAGAAGAACAATATCCACTGGTGTTGAAAGACATAAAATATACTTCACAGAATCAGCTAATATTTCTGAAAAAATGAAATATCAAGCATACATGTAATCAATTAATTCCTTCGAAAAGATTAAAATAAAAAAGATAATGAAACTATTTTTTTTTTATAAACTTAACTTGCTATTTACCTTCCAGCAGTACTTAGAAATCTTACAGTTTGTGTACTTGCAGCACATTCACAAGTACTGTAGCAATTCTGAACGTAATCTTTATGTTTCAAAATGATTCCTTACCTGGTTTAGGCTTTGCAAGTCCTGCACACAAGATAGTTTCACTCAGTCCATCAAAGTATGCCAAGTCACTTCTAATAAATAACAAGATAATACAATTTAAGTCACATAATACGTCAACATTAGTTTGCCGAGCTGTCAATCATACCCGTCTTCATAGTTCCAAACAAAGATATCACTATCAATAGTCAGCCATGCTCGTCGAATCTCAGGAAACAATCCCATCATACAATTGCACTGCATGTCTGTCATTCATTAAGGCAATTACAAAGATCTCTTTAAAACAATTTCAGATTATTACATGTATGACACATCTGCGGCATTAGTTATACTTCCAAAGCAATATTAATTCAGTGTGAGCATGTTATACATGTAATACTACATGTAAGAAAGGATACGTTCAAACTGCTCTACAAGTTCAGTAGGAAGTGGAACATGCTTAATTGTGCTGATAAGTTCCATTCCAGACAGGCCAACTGATGGTGATGATAACGATGGATAATCATAATCATTGACACCACTAAAGGACACAGAACCTGCAAAAAACATTATCAAAGATTATTAGAATGTTTAGTAGGAATGGAATGAGCTGCAACTAGGCTGGTATCCTGATAAACATTTTAAGTTATAAGTAAATGCTTACATATATGTATGCATAATTGTATTACAACATAAACAGAAATGTATGTCAACTAAAGTTCTAATCTGAACATTTACACCCAAATGTATTTAATGGCAGTATTTTTCAGCTACTTTAAAATCCAAAGTTCTCTACAAGATCGATATAATTACACTAAGATGTCTTACTTTGAGATGAAACTCTCAACTGACTTGAGAGGTCAGGGTACTGCCTGTCGGCCTGTAGTTGTCGACTAACTTCTTTTGAGGCATTTTCTAGCGCTTCTGTCAAAGCATTAGGGTTTGTAGGACTTGTTCCTGTTAGTATAGGCATTTCTGGACACCACAAAACCCCCTTTAGTTAGTAAAATATAAAGAATTTATCTTGTTCTGTTCACATTTCTGACATGGTCTTGCACATGGACTTCGTCGTCTCCATTCGAATGAAGCGCGATCGTCACTGCGCAAACTCGGGAAAAGCACAGGAGGCCCACTTGATAATAAGAAAAATAAATAAACAAAATATTTCAAATACTGAAGCTGTAAAAACAGTATCCAATAAAGAAATCACAAATTATACATATTGATTTTCTTTGAATTTTTGAATTTTAAAAGGAAAGAATTAATCATATTCCTTTGCATTATAAAAAATTGACCCTTTACATTTGTATAATAAATTATCTCCTTCAAACCAAAACTGATTCCCATGTTCATTTAACTGTTTTTCTTTTTGTTACCTAGAATGGTCGGGTAAAAAGAAAAGGAAAATTAGAATAACATAACCGGGCTTCCTGTGCTAATTAATCTACAACAGACCTGACGTCTTTAGTTTGTAGATATTTATTTTTTGAGACGTCAGTTATTAAATTGCGTAAAGCCCTTGAGGCTAATGCAATAAATCTAAGCCACTTAAAAGAAATCATTTGTTTTCCAAACCGTTGGGAGAGGTAATCTCGGTAATCTCATGTTTATCTATCGGTTTCCGAAAACGTGACGGCAAAGGCCGATCAATTATCGAGATCATCACGAACAACGAGCAAAACATGACGTCATTCATAATAGATAGAGCTTTGACATTTGTTTTGGTGCGAATAATTTTCTTCTTCTTAGGAGTACAAAAGTGTAAAGAAGCGTCCTTTAAAGCCGCTCTGAGAGACATCACATCTAGCATTCTTCTTCCCGACATGGGGAATTGCTTTAAGAGTTCGGGACAGGACGATATTTCGCTTTTACACGAAGATGAGAACCCAGATTCACCAACGACTGGCGAACCACCACCGCCATACCAGGTAAGAACACGACGATTCAATGCCTTTTGTCCTTTTTCTAACCCTTGTTTACATCTTGCCTAATACAGGAAGAAGCTCCAATATATATACAAAGTCAACATGCTCCGCATTTATTATCAGAAGAACAGCAAATACGTTTAGCACAACGGTTAGGACTTATTCAACATCTACCTGAAGGACAGTACGACGGATCCAAAGGGAAGAAGAGAGAGTAAGTGTTTTTTTTTTGAAGACTTGGTCTGTAGACATTTATGATTAAACGCTTTGTCTCTTGTACAAAACTGAGTTGTTGCTATATTTGTGTTTCGTGGATCGGCACTAATGGATAATGTCCTTCCGTGAAAATGAAATATTTTTGAATTCAATGGTACAAAACAAAAATGTTTGATGTATGTACAGAGACATGTGGGTCCACAATACGCGTTTACAAAGTAAATACTTTCTTGCATAATTCTTTTTTTGTCATTTCAGTCCTCGTGGTTTCGTTTTCGATCCTTTTTTCTTTTCCGATATTAATAAATATTTYTATGCGTGATTAGGAGTTATATTTGTTGTCTAAATCAGCTTGATAGTTTGGAATTAGTTTTGTAGCAATGAATATGCATGTTTTTTTCCTTTCTAATTCTTGCATATATCCCTTTGTTATTAATATTAATTAAGTGCATTAATTTAGATTCCAATATATTTGGTATGACAGTCATTTCTGTGCAACATCCATAAAGCTGCATTCCACTGGTTTTACAGACTTTTAGTTCAGTGTTCCTTTGTACTTTGTACTAAGTATTATGGATAAAAAGATCATTTTATAAACGCTTAAAGCATGTACATGTAATCCTGAAGTTGCTATTGTTTTAGAATATTCACATTCATATGTTATTTGCATAAATATGTTGACAAATTAATTACCGCTGTTTTCTCGGCTCATCATAATAATCACATGTACAATGTCTGACACRTTGCCATCCTAAAAATTCGCCAGGACTTTGCATCAAGGTAAGGCATTGATTGAGCTTGCAATGACAGATACCTGTGAATAATTGTTTAAGATATCTATATCACTGCAGGTTCAACCAAAGTCTTCCTTTGGTTACCTTACAACCTGAGAATTCTAGGCTTTGTGTATTCAAAGCAGATAAGTAAATCTTATCCATTAARAATTGAAAATCTACAGTAAATTTTGACTGTACATTTGCCACTCTCTCTGACGTACATGTAGTATTAATTATTGATGACGRTTCAATTCTTGTTTTCAGATGTGTAATCTGTATGACTGACTTTATGGTTGGCGATCCAATACGATTCCTACCATGTATGCATATATACCATAAAGAATGCATAGACGACTGGTTAGTTAGGTCATTTACTTGTCCTTCATGTATGGAACCAGTTGAGGCAGCACTTTTGTCAACCTACGAAACACCAGAATAACTCAACGTGGWATTTGTAGTTATATTTACAGTATGTTATATTGGTGTGCGATGCCTTAAGTATTMAGGCATGTCACCATTTTAACATAAGCACCACAATCCTGAAACTGGTTTTCAGAAGATCACAAATCAACATTGAAAGTAAACATCATGCCRACAAGACCTGCATTGCTGCTAAGAATCATGTGACCATTATAAGAACATAAATGACTGACAAAATAATTGATTTCTTAATTGATACACAATAATTAACCCAAGGAAATTAAAATTTTAAATAMAATGTCTTATAATTATTATAATTACAAATAGATGAATATACATAGCCAGCCGCACTTTTTATTTGTCAGAACTGGCTAGCCAGACACTAAGAGAGTTCCATATTTATTAAAATGACGTTCCTTCATTGTCAGAGGGATCAATTCCTAACAGGATCGAACCTKGAAACATTTAATACTGAAAACTAATCTCAACAAAAGGGTATTGCTTTACTTTTGAATAAAATGGTCTGGTAAGCCATTTCTGACTATATGGCAAGCAGTATGGAGATGATCTTACTATTACATAGTCACAGCACACATTGGCACTATAGCATGACAAACAAATTTTGATATCTGGATGCTATAAAAGTGAGAAAGGGTTTTCGTAAAGGCACCCAGTTTAGTTTTARAATGAAACTATTAGTTATTCTCTTAGCAATAGGTAAAAGAAAAAATATTTCTAGATGATTTGAAGTTTTTACTGTTTCAGGATGACAGAAGTCAGTCCTTAGCAGACAAGTGACCTCACAGTTTCACTTGGTATTGCTTTAAATTTTCTCAGGTTGTGGTCAACATTTTCATGAGACTATCCAATATAGAAGTTCAGTCTTTGTTCTAAAGTTTTCATTTGATGTTTTAGAGTTTTCCAACAAAAATTGAGCAAGACTGAAATGGGAAAAATGAAAATTAAGAATAATAAGGGGAATTTCAAAGCACTATCTTATTTAAATTTTTTTTCTATGTTATTATGTTAAGTTTTCTTGAYGTTTAGAACTATATTCAGTGCTCTTCAGGGAGTTCATTTTCAATTTCTAAGAAAAATATCTTTAAAGTTTGTAGTTTGAGGAAAGCTCTCTATGGCAACTAATTGCCAAGTGATATCTATTAATAACCAAAATTGAGTGTACATTTAATCTGTGAAGCAATTGTACACACAACTTTARATAGTGATCTTCAGGCTGGTTGGCAGTGAAATGGTACAAAAATAGCRTAAATTGGCACTAAACAGAAGCTATTGTAGCAGAATATCCTTTGATTCCCACTGCKTTAGGTGAATATCATTTACACTCTTGAACAATAATCCGAAAAGTACAACTTCACAGATTAAGTACATTCAAAATGATGTTCAAAGTTTTCCAAGCACTTGACAAATGTTACGTCGATAATACCTGATTAATGCTCAAAACGTGTACATATCAATTAGTGGTTTTAGTTTTGTAAATATAATAACATCTTTACATGTCTTGTTTACTTGATGATAGTTTACCCATAGGCCATATAATCTTCCTGATCACCCCAAAATGCCAGTTTGTTGCTAGTGATCGYACTAAAACCATRAAACTGTACGTCAAACAAAATAATAAATCAATGGAATAGTCCTGCTTCAGGTCCACTTTTAGTACAAATTAGTACTACCTTGACTTTGTAGAGTGATTGCACTTAATCCGTGTAACTGAACAAACAAAATAGTGCTATTTAGTCGCATTTAGTAAATCGTGCATGTGGTATGCAAATTAAATTGAAACAAATGAAGCATTCACTACCGTCTTGCTTCATTAATACTAAATTAATAAATTAATACTACTTAGATTTGTACAGTTGCCACTTTAAGTGCGATCACTCTACTTTTTTCGAGAAACAAGAACAGAACTACTAAGTGTTTTGGCGAAAGACTCTCATAAGAATGATACAAAAAGATAATCAAAYACAATGCATAATTGTAAATATTTTTATTGCATTTTTGGTGTCGTTATTTATCTGCCTGATTAAAATTGAACAATYTGATAAATAATACAATCAATTAGTTGACGTATACAGCGAACAACCTCACATCAACAAAATCCTTAATTTTTTATTTCAACTTCTTGTTGTCATTTCTTCACCGACTATCAAATGTACTGGAGGTAGGATGTCAAACAAATCTAATATGCAAAGACTGGCTTACTGGATCAACAAGGCACACTTTCATTGAGGTTTGGCAAATAGTAACCTCAAAATAAACCAAGGAGTTTCAAATCTTTTTAAGGAATAGAAGGTGGAAAGGTCAATAGTATTAGATCTGACAAGCTGATGATAATCTAATCTCATTTTACAGTTCAATTTACCCTACAGAACTCAACATACTTCAATATGAACATCTGGGCAATAATACAATTATGAAATATCTATTCCTTGGAGTCTTAGTGCTGTTCTTTTGAATAAGGTAAGAAAGTATACATCAAAGGCATGTTCTGTATAGTGTGCACATGTAACCCTAACAGTTCAAGCAAATTTCTGTCCATTGGTGTGATTTGATAGCCGTTTGATGGCCCAAAATGGTCGATTTTTGATCAAACAATAATACAATTATGAAATATCTATTCCTTGGAGTCTTAGTGCTGTTCTTTTGAATAAGGTAAGAAAGTATACATCAAAGGCATGTTCTGTATAGTGTGCACATGTAACCCTAACAGTTCAAGCAAATTTCTGTCCATTGGTGTGATTTGATAGCCGTTTGATTTGCATACAGTTTTCAAAATACTGGTTGCATGATGRCCAAATAACAACCAGGCCACCATACAATGTCACAACATTGGCATCATTGTACCAAACGATTTATTATAAAGAYGATGCCTGGTTAGGCATTATGATCTTGTAGGATCCAGTATTTTGCAGAGATTAATTCCTAGCCACTGAAATGCAACACAGCCCACTCCCAAATGGCTGCTATCTTCTAGTACAGACGCGGCACCAAATTATTTTAGTCTCTAGAGAATAATACCAGTWGTTTGGCTAACCAAGAGTTGGGAACTCTTCCTGGTTGATTGCAAATTCAGCATTTCCGCTATCAYGACTACCTCCAAAGCCGCCTCTTCCTCTTCCACGGCTGCCACCTCTTCCACCGCCACGTCCACGRCCACCACGGCCGCCTCGTCCTCCTCTTCTGGGTTCTGGTGACTCAGAGTTCACAAATGAAAACTGTATGCCTTCAACTTTTTGTTTTACTCTGCCAGATGTCTTGATTCTTTCTTCATAAAGCTGAAAAATAGACATTAAAACATGAGAACATTAGAAGAATCATTGACTCTCAATTGAATGCTCTAGAACACAGCATCATTATCCACATGCTGAGGGTTTGTCAAAGTCTGACAATCATTAACCCAGGGTTAATTTCATTGAGTTTTTCAGAGTGACCAGGAGAGAAAAAAAACCCTAGAGAGGGCAAGAACTAGCACAATTTGAGATTAATGTGACCAGCGAAATATTAGATTGTCATTTTATCTACTAACCCTTTCCCCAATATAAAATAATAATATACAGTAGATAGACTGACAGACAGACAGACAGACAAAGTTACTGAGTGATTAATACCTGTTGCCTATCATCATCACCAACAGACTTCTTGCTCAGAACATGGGTATTCTTCCACTGTCCTTTCTTTTCTCCTTCACCAGGTTTTCGTACCTCAAAGGACATCTTAGAGCGGTACTTTTCCTGAAGTTCTTTCCACTCTTCAAGAGTCATCTCTTTTGTCTCCTCGCTCTGCTCTTCTGATTCCTCAGGTTCTTCCGCCTGCCCTCTGCAAATGGAATAAACTAGTTGTGAATTTGTTGATATACACAAAAATCAACAATAGATCAGTATCTCACAGATGTCTATCCACTTGAAAGTTGTATCCAAATKAAATAAGAAATGTAATATTTCAATACATACTCATCAGTAGTGGGCTTGGATTCTTCAGCTTCAGGACTTGGTTCTTCCCACTCTGCCTTCTTCTCATCAAAAACTTCTCCTTCACTATAAATACATATAACAATTATCTCCTTCACTATAAATACATAACAATTATGTGAGTTTTTGGTTGACATTTCAATTGAGACTTGCTGTTTGTCTTGTTTATAAGAAGACCTTCACAATAGCACATTTTTCTTCACTGACAATAACTTACTTTGAATGAGTAAGCAGGGTTTTCAGTAGAAGGCAGAAAATCACCAGTTATAGCTTAGTTAATTGCCGGCTACTTATGAATTTATTCACAAATTATTTGGCTGTACTTTTCCTATTTTGATGTCTACTTTTATTTCTACTGATAACCCCGAGTAAGTAGTGAAAGCTGTATGATAGTTGTAATCCACAATACAAACTACAAGTGAATGTTACACTTATACCAACAGAACAAGAAATTATTATTTTATGTCATGACTTACTGAGGATCGGTTGGATTCCCCCAGTTGAAAGAACCGCCTCCTTCTCTCTTGTCTTGAGGCTTGACAGACCTTGAAACAAAATATCAAAACTCTTRGTTGGTTGGCAACAATACAAATTAACAAAAAACCTTACAGTAATTGTGGATGAGCTCTTTCTTCATTGTTTAAGATTACAGTTTTATAGTTTTTATGTTAATAGTGCAACCACTAGACAAGAAATATGTTCTAAAATGCATTTTCTGAGACAAGAAATGAAGCACTCAGACATAACAAGTATCACAAGTGATGCATCTGAATTAATGAATGTCAAATTACCAGACAAAACCCTGCAATATTCATTATTTTGACAAACTTTCACATTTTAAAACACAAAGAGAAAGATAAAATAAGTAATGATATCTAGTTGGTACACTTTTAGGTCAATAAGAGTGAATATTTTTGTGTTTTAACTATCATTTGTTAGTATTTTAGCAGTTTATTGAATAATTAACAGCACAGCTATATTTAAACATTGTTCRTTATAATTTTTCAGCATCATTTAGTGTTAGGGTGAATAAAAGTGCCAGTACCGTAGTCAATATTAGACAATGAGGCATTTGTAACCATTTTTCAATAGAAATGTGATAACAGGAAGAGTTAGACATGAAATACAAACTCCCTTTTTCTTTTCATATTTATGAAAAACAGTTTGACATATACATCAGTTCAAAATGTACAAACTGTCATTAAAAATGCATGCATGTTTAAATTTGTTAGTTGTCCTAGGCATTCACTTTCCTAAACCAAAGATATCATCGTATAATCGCACTGTTAATGTATACCATGACATTACTACTTAGTCTGCTACAACTAGAGATGAATCTAGTATGTAAGTGCAGCATTCAAGTGCTATATGGCTTGTATTAATGCATGACAGGTGTTTGGGAAAAGAAAAACAGTATTATTTACAGCACACCTTCTTGTAGGAAGTCCAGAACTCTCTTCTGTTCCTCTAGATTACAAAACAAATACTTGTCATTTTCTAATTGTAAAACACTCTGAAAGAACTCTTGTGATTTAACTTAGAGTGGGAGGAGAAAGGAGTAATTTAGTGTACTGTTTATGTGGTAGAAGTTAGGCTTATATAATTTACATGCAAAGTTTAGCTAAAGTTTATCACTTAAAAGTTTTTTTTTCATTTTTTATAATTATTACATTTTTTATAATTATTACATTTTGTACAAGTTTAGTATTTGTTACATCATTCAACATATATAGCTTGGTTAAAGAGCTCAGATAGCAACATGCTTTGACATGCAGAAAAATTATCACTAGATCAAGTTCTACTCACGATCTGTCGCTACCACTTCTTCTATCGAAATCACGTTTGCGACCACCGCCTCTAGGACCTCCAAAGCCACCTCTACCTCGGCCAACGTTGCCTCCTCTACCTCTTCCTCTGTTACTAAATCCCCCCATGCTGGTTCCACCGCGATCTTCTCTCTTCTCGTCCTTGGCAGGAGAATCGCCCTCTGGTGTTCCTTCATTGTCTTTCCTTCGGTTAAAACCTCCTTTGCCTCGAGGAGGAATGTTTTCCCGATCTTCTCGTGGACCATTTGAGAGTTTCGTGTTYTTCTCGTTCTCTCGCTTCACTCCATCCTTGGCGACCCTTCCGCCCTTCTTGTTTTGAGCTAGAAATAAACATGACAATTTAACGATGTGTATGTACTTTGTTACTGGGAAAAMATATGCTTAGCATTGTAATTTATCTTAGATGTGATAATTACAGCTGAGAATTGTTGTAAATGTATTATTTTGCATAAATTCTTTTGTACAATTCCATGGAACAAGATGATCTAACATCACACTTCAAAAGCATGGCATGGCGTTATTTACTTCCAAACATATCAACCCAAACTCGCTAAAATATCTCTACACAACCACGAAAATAATGACTTCAATAAACTAACGAGTTTAAAGTCTACGAATTCACATTGATGTCGATAATGTTGAAGCATGTTTGAAAATTTCGCAATTCAGCACACCTCGTGGTCACATCACACCACCAAGTTTGYGATAATTCGCTGTATCGAAATTCAAACATAATAATTGTCGTTCAGACGCTTAAGTAAGATATTTGTGTCYTCAAAACTCTAATAAATAACATCAGGCGCCGCTGCTGGCATCCTTGAACATAMTTTGGTACAAAATTCGAGCGACATGTTGGGTGAAGTCGACCATATCAACGTACTCAATATTTTTACATTTCTGGTGTACAAATTCTCGCTTAACTCAGCTGATACTGTCAAGCAACAGTGATGCACAACTTACCATCTTTTCTCGTCTCCTCATTAACTGCCTCTTTCTCCTTCTTGGTTTGCTGAGGTTTGGCGTCTTTGACAGATCGTACATTTTTAGCCTTCTTCTCCTTTTTATCTTTCGAGGATTTCTCTGAATCCTGGACAACATCCGTTTGATCTTCGTCCTCCTCCAAAAGTTTGAAACGATTATTAACGCCTATACTATACTCTACTGCATCCATTTTCGATGGATGGCGTAAAAATAGGCTTGATGTTGATAGATATAATCTACCTCTCAGCTCTTGCTATCGTTCTGCACGGWGTACCTGTAGCGCGCGAAGCATCACATTGGCACATTCACTTACTGTTTATTGTCCCCCTAACTTTTGGGGCTCATTCAYTTATGCATAAATTAAAAACGAAAACCTTTCAAATTTTGTTCGGTTTTCACGGATTTTCAGTAGATTTACAGATAAAACTATTTTGAAGTAATGAAAGAGATTTCTTATTTAGTTTGCGAAAAAAAGCTTTCATTCTTTGGCATGTATTTBAATGTCCGGTTTTGAATGCTAGGTGCGGTCAACGATCAGATCATTGACAAATAAAAAATACTTGGAAATTTCTAGCTTCAGACTCAGTCGTCCGTATCATTCCAATATATCACGATCATTTTGCTCATTTTGTTTGTACTGAATCGTTTCACTTTCCAATATCAAAGATGAGAATGGTTTTACTTTTTTTTAAACAACGAAAGTCAATTTGTTTCAAGGGCACAGGAAGCCCGAAATCAACCTAGTGTTACAAGGTTTAGCGTCGATATTTAGCGTACCCTYCCCTATTTCATATCATAGCCATCATGTCGATCGAGGACAACAAAGCATTCCTCTTATTGTCGCTTATAGCCATTGTAGTTTATATGCACCCATCTTGGTGACGATATAACATTCTTTTTTAGGCACCATTTTTCAAATAATTGCAAGCAATGAATAGATTTTGGTTTTGGACATGTATTTTTGATTGATTTTTCATTCATCAAGGGAGGGCTGCGTCATCACGAGCACTGGTGGTTATTTGTGGATAGCGGTATTGCTATTGCARTAAGAACTATTTGACAACAGACAATATTCACATTAAATCTATTATTTTCGTACGAAAAGGCACCTTGTAATAGTCAACAATAAGTGCATGTATATTATTAACAATCAATTTACAGCGAAATGTAATTATAATCCTTCTCTACTAAAATCTAAACACCTTAATTTCATAGAATATATCTGATAATTTGTGTTACGGCTTTTCCTTGGACTAAAAACTAAATGAGACTAATTGTTAAAAAGTTAAACAAACTTAAATCGATAACCCTATTTACACTTTGGTGTATTTCTACACAAACTGAGGCTCACGGTCTTCCTGTGCCTTCTCTTCGGGAAACTGTCGGCGACCTCGTCGGGGTGGCTTCGGAGATTTCTGAACCAGTGGATATGAGTTTGTTGAATGTAAGGCTTTCTTTTGATTTTCTTGTGGGGGTGTGCTCTCGTCCAATAAGATGTCGACTCTCCGTGACGTCAGTTTTACTGGTTCTTTAGTTTTTCCCGTGATGCTTCCGTCCACGTTTTCAGCCCGCGAATGATGTTCTAAGCTATMAAGCCTGTCAAAGTTCAGTTTTGAAATTGGATTTGTTTCCTCAGTTTGATTAAGATCTTCTTTAGATGAGTTTAATGAGCTACTTTTAGCTTTTTTTGAGATATCATTGAGTTTTTTGAAAGTTTCTTTCTTGGTGCCTTTCTCGATTGTTTCAAAGAACTGTTTGCGCGACGCAAGGTCGATGTTTCCGATCGAAGATTGTGGTTTTCGGATTCCTTCGGGAGTTTCCGGCGATTGTTCGTTATTGTTCGGTGATTCGTACTGTTTTCGACGGTCTTTAACTGATATGCGAGGTGATTTTCGTATCTTTTCACGGACTTCATCGCTAACAATAACTTCAGTTTGGTCTTTTGTTTCCGAGTTCTCTTCTTTTGTCGACGTTTCGTCACCTTTACTGCTTTCTTCATCTCCGCTACAATGTAGTATTTCTTTCTCTTTTTCCAAAATCGTTTCTTCACTCATGTCACCATTCAATTCCTCTTCTTTCGCCGCTTGTTCATCACAAATTGGATTTTCATTTTCAAGATTGCTAGCGGTATTCTCTAGAGGAATAATTACCGTGTTGTAATCATCATTATCATTGTTAACTTGATTTTCTGTCGGTACAAACTCGATGGTATTGTCTTTATTATCCAGTTCGTGAATGTTATCCTGCGCTGATATATACCATTCTTTAGATGACTTCGCGGGCTCGCTTTCTGTTCCAGTTTCACTTGCAACAGCTTCATCGGCCATGGRATCCTCTTCATGTTGATTGTCAGACGATACCTTCTTCGTTTCTTCGTCATTACCGCGTAAAATAGGATCGTATACCATATGCATTCCGCGCAACGCCTCGGTGATTCCTGGGTGTTTCCTTGAACCGGAAGCATCCAACAAAACCTCCTGTGTAGGTTTCTGCGTCCTCTTTGTAGTAACATCGCTTTCACTACCAGACGATTTTCCGGCCGAAGGGAAAATCCCCAAACGTGTCAACTTTCCAGGCAAGTCGGAATTCCTCTTAAGAAACCCGAGATTGTGCGGCCGAGAACGAGTTCGGCTCGGCACTGATGAATCGTCTACGGTTTTTTTCGGATATGGACGAATGTAGCCCGAGTTATTTTCGCCAGGTACTTCGGGAATTTTCGGCTTTGATTCGGTACATTCTGAATAATCCGGAAGTAGTTGGTCGTCAGGTAGAACAGATCCAAAGCTAACGGCTGCACTCCCAAATGAGTAGGTTGACGAGCTACGTGACATTACAGTTGCAATATCAGGCATTGAACTCGATGATGGTAGCGAGAATTCAACATTYTCTGTGGGAGACAGAGAAGAGGGAGACTTTGGCGGTTTTAAGTCGTCTCGGTTTAGACTTCCTTTAGAACTGTCCAAGTCATCGTCTGGAGTACAGAAGCCGCTTGTCCCTGCAACAAAGTAGGGTGACAAACTAATGAGAACTGGTAGACAAATGAAAGTATTATTGACAGCAAGACAAGACACACAGACACTTCTAAAGGCAGATAAATGGACAGGCAAAAAAAGGTGAGAAATAGAAGCACATTAACAAGCACTAAACGACGCAGAACCAATGCTCTTAAAGTGCTTATAAAACGAAATATTTGTCATAAGACAGGTATATGGCACCCAGTCTTTTCTCGCGGTTTCCCTGTTAGCGAAGGGTCTGGTGGTAAGCAAAGGGACAAAGAGAAGGGTTCGAGTCCTTACCTTGCGTACTGTCATCGTTACTCTCATCAGTGTCCTTTGGTTCCACTGTTCCTGGCTGAAGTAAAAACTCTGGCATTCCATAATCGTCTTCCTTATCCTTTAAACAAGCAAAAACATTTATTATTTACCTACAAGAATTACTACACCTTGGTTCAAGTTGAAGAATTTTGATAGTGTTTATCTCTTACCTGTGGTCTGCTATTGCTTTTGGCCAATAAATCCAAGAACCCACTTTCGAAACCAAGACGTTTACTATAACGTAAGAGAAAAAACACTCAGCCTTCGTCTACAATATTGCGTTTTCTTAGCGTATACGTGTGCTTCTCGGGGGATTGAAACGCTACGGAAACGCACTGCTGTCGACAAAAACGCATTGTTGTGGACGGAAAAGAGTTCAGTTTCTGTAACGTGAAGACGCACGTTATTTTAGAGGCATAGTTTTGATTTCGCAGGCATTTCTGATCACAGGGTTAGGCTGGACGGATCCGTAATGACACGCTTACATCTATCTCGATACATAAGGGCAGGACCTTACAATCATCAGTAAATTATACTTACGATGGCGACGTAGACGTCTTGGACGAAACAAGATTACTACAAAAAAAAGTGACCGCGAATTAACATGACGCGGACGTGGTTTTCACTYGTTGCTCAGTCTTACATGCGGAGATGTAAGATGACGCATGATTGAGATCACGTGTTAAATACTACCAATCACATCAACCAGATTAAGCATTACATCATTAGCTATATATAGCAAGGAAGCCAACTTCACGTGAAGCAAATTAATGTAGTCAATTCATTAATCAATTAGTGGTTCTAGGGATTAGAGGAACTTACTTGTCAGTATTTTTAGTACGTACAAAGTCATCAGAGGACAGGTTTTCAGGCATTAGATCAATGGTGTCATCATGTGCCGTGTCTGAGCTAAATACAACGTCATGAATAAGTACGTAGGRTCAGCGGTTATAGATACTTACGCAGGCGGGCTTATTTTACGTGAGCGWGAAACACGTGACGGAACGGCAAGGTTGATAAACACACTGAATGATGAATTTTAAAATGGAATGAGAAAAATAAAAAGATGGATGGGCAACATAATAAACTCATAACATCTATGACAGCAAAAAACAGATGTATAAACAAAAACATGTCAATAAGCCGAAACATAGCAATGAAATCTGTACGGAGTACAAGGAAGTTCGGCAAAATTTGGGCTTGCTGTGTAAATGATTAAAAATGAAAAGTGTGCCTCACTTTTGACACAGGGAGCTTATTGTGAATTACCATAGTSACATTTAGTTATATCACAAAATAAGGACCACCGTCATTTACCTTCCATCATCAGCGACGAAAACTCCTTGAGAAGAACTTGAATCTGAATTGTTAAATGCATTTTTAGAGTTAAACACGTGATAACAAGTCACATATATCGGTAATAGCACTACTGTACCTCGACTACGAACACTGCGAACATCACTTGAWATCGACTCATTTTTCACTCGGTTGAACTCCTGAAAAGTACGAAATTCACATMAATATTTCTAGAAACATGACGTCATTGAAGCTATATGTGAAATATGACGTCATACCACTAGACAAACTGAATATAACGTCACTTTACTTTATCTGTCAATCAAATAGAGTGACCAATAGAATCAACGAGAACTATTTCTTACCTCTACTGGTGTGTCTTGTGATGCTGGATCATCAACTCCAGGTGTATCGAAAACCTGTCGAATCGATGGYAGATTTAACGAGTTAATCAGGTTTTAAGACTCTTTTCCCGATTTTTGGCAAATCTTTTCATCATATTTTATTTCATAAGTCAAGTATCAAACAGGTTTGACAAGTTTTTTAAKCAAGTTACAACTGGTTTTGTACCTGTGGATTGTTGATTAGAAGTTCAACTGCCTTTGCTTGGTAAGCCATGTCGACCAACGCTGACATTGAGACCGAGTCTGTACTGGCTGACTCACTGAATAAAACAATAGCAATCTATTTATTGGAATCGTTTAGCAAAGTTGGTTAAGATATCTATCATTGCATTATCCTTGTTGTCATGCTTCGACTCAAGTGCAAGGCTATCTGTCAACTATTTCAAGATGGCTCACGCAGCCGTGGGCAAGACAAGGAATATAAATGTAGGTATTTTACCGAGGACGAAGAAGAGTTGGTCCAAACACAATACCAAGATTRCCAGCTGACATTTGGTTTTCYTCCTCGTTAATAGAAATCAGTTTAAGATGGTGGATAATCTTGGATGCAGTTTTGAAATGYGCTCTGGGAAGTTTGACAACCACTTCACGGAGTTTGTTGACAACTTCATTGTATTCGATACTGCTACGATCATTTGGGCACTCCTAAAACATGACAAGAACATTAAATCCAGATACAAACAAAATGAAATGGAAAGAATGAATGAATGATCAAATGAAAGAACGAAAGAAGGGAAGAACAGATTCAGGACACAATAATAGATGAATGAACAAATGAGTGAACGATTGAAAGATGGAACAATTGAAAGAATAATCGAATGGATGAAAAAAATATGAATGAAAAAATAACGACGAATAAATGTACACAATTTATGCACCATACCAGTTTTGCAATTTTGATGAATTCTGGATACAGTTTGAAGGTGAAAAGTGGTTCTGGTAACTAAAAGAAATAAAACAATAATTATACCTCTCTCAAGAAGAACAGCGGGATTACAGAGATAACAGGGGGGAGGAGGAGGGGTGGGGGTGGGGAGGGTACTTACCTGCCGTAGATAAAGCTTCAACACTGCTGCTATTACGTGTGGTGGTATGTAACTCAAATCTACTGTACCGTTGTTGTTCTCGAATGCCTGAAGCGTGAAAATTAATCACATAACATTATTCAATCAATCAATCAATCAATTAAACAACCCTTCAATAATAACTACTAACTTTCCAATGATTCAATCAGTCGATACCAATCAAAAGATCGATGAATCAGGCCATCAATCGTTGAATCCGGTTGAAATCATTATCAACTAAACGAATGCTTACCTGGCAAACTTTTTCAACTTTCGATTTAACCCCAGAGACACGATAAATTCCTTTGAACATAAGTCCTGTTAAAATATAACGTCACATTAACAACAATGTCATGACGTCATATTAACATAAAAAGTTATGACGTCATATCAAATAATTATGACGTCGCGAATATTGACSTAACAGACCTCTATTGTTGATTTCYTCGATACATGACGACACGATGTARGGCACACACTCGCCATCTTTTCGTGTGGCTTGAAGATGTGAGTAGAAGTCGACACCGAAGGTTGTCATACGTCGTCCACCATTCTAGACATGAAAGTAATATCATTATTTACATGTGGCGGTGACGTAATACGGATAGACAGACTTTAAGAGGGATGATTAGACCAATCAACCACGGAATCACACAACAGAACTTGTACTTAACATTACTTACATAATCTGAAGATCGATTTCCAGAACTTCGCTGAAAATGAAAAATTTGGTAATTAGGCAAACAACACATTTGGTCAAAAAATAATTAGTAAAATGAAATAAACGAGGGTCTTTAGGACGTTCAGCGATCAAATTTAGGAGCCGTCTATCTATAGATACCTTTTTATCGCAACGGAGTACAATCTTTGCTAAACATTTTCGATGGCAAGTGAGCCCACAGTCTGCACAYTCAGCGCCGTTAAAGTATACGTAACTATCGCAGTCGCGGCATCGGGAAGGCGCGCGAAGCTTCTTGAAYTTGTGTGTCTTGGCGGCAGATGACATGCGAACGTTAGGAAATGGACCACTTGGTTTAGGACGATCTTCTTAAGAAATATAAAGAAACATATATCAGGGGGTAGCCTATATGTCACTATCGGTCCATAAACGAATTACAATCACGAAAACTGTCAACAATAAACCGGGTTTGTGATTACCTTCAGTAGGTGATTCTTCATCAGTAGAATCGTCGTTTAATGTYGCGGGAATACGTCTTGGTTTTATTATCGGGCTGCCGTCTGGAGTGGCAGGAGCAGATTTACTTCCGGTGCTTTCTGCGTCACTCAAGTGATCAGCCATTGGGTGACGGACGCCGGACTTTGGTGGGATTAGTTGTGAAGCGCTACCTTTTGGGTTGAAAGGAGATGTTGGCCGACCACCGTTAGAATTGGTCCGTGAATGTGTATGATGTTTGTCCAAACTATAAAAAATACACACCAGCAACCAGTTTAAAAAGTGGTAAAATAACAATTGACTGATCGAATTTAGAATTATTTACCATAGAAARAATTATCGTGCATAAACAAATTAKAATYYTACCTGCACGATTGYTCAAATACAAATTCCCTCTCGACTGTGGACTGTGCCGTTTCTAGYTGCTCATAAACAAARTCCGAGAACTGACAGCCAGGTTCGTATTGTCGACTAGTCTCGGCCAAGCACTGGAACCGAATAGGCACCGGAGTGGACTGGGAATGCATTAGTTGGAAGAAGTTACACGTSACCTGCGAAGAATGAATGCCTGGTRTTAGTYACGTGTTYTTTGTCCCAAGTCCCGTCAGAATGGAACTAACAAACTAGTTTAGTCGATTGAAGCTATTGATTTACAGATCACAATATTCCATATTTACAATGTGCATCCAACATGACTTACCGCTTTCATTGTCTGATCACATTGATATATTAGCTGTCTTAATTCAACCAGCACGTGACGTTTGGTTTTTAAAAGCTCTTTTTGTCGTACATTAGCTTCAGATACACACTGTTTGTACCAGTCCTCTGCCTCGTCCGCCTTGCGAACATCTTCTTGCTGCTTTTTCTTCTGAGTGCGAGTAAATGACGATGAGAGCTCGGGGTCTTTGGTGTCCGTGCTCTTAAACTATGGCACAAACATATTTCATTGAAATGATAACAAACATGATTGTGAGTCTAAGAACGACGACGCTAAGCACGATTGCGAGGCTGTGAATGACGGATAAACATGATTGTGAGGCTGTGAATGATAATGATGACAAGCACGATTGCGAGGCTGTGAATTACGGATGAATATGGTTGCGAGGCTGTGAGTGATAATGATGACAAGCACAATTGTGAGGCTGTGAATGACGGATGAACATGATTGAGAGTTTGAGAATGACGGATGAACATGGTTGCGAGGCTGTGAATGATAATGATATGCACGATTTGAGGCTGTGAATGACGAATGAACATGATTGTGAGGCTGTGATACTCACCTTTTCAATCTCCTGTTGTTTCTGTATGTATGACTGCTTTGCTTTCTCAAGTTTTCCAATGGCATCATTCTAAAAACATCACAACAGATCGAGTCAACCATGTGGGATGCGAAAGTCAAGTACGGGCATGAGCAGAAAAGTACTTACAAGTTTCTTGTACGCTTTTGTCCACTGATCTTTMAGATCTTTTCGCTTTTTCTCGTGGCTTGTTCTTCTATTTTGCAAAGGCTGGAAAATATAAATATAAACTTTACAAACTTTGCTATTGAGRAAAACCATCCTCCACATGGCTTTGTGTCYTACCTCTAGGAACTTCGAAGATAACAGCGAACTGTAGACACGAGTACAGTTATCRGCGTACTCAATATCTTGATCTAGAGACGTCACATAGATCGTTTGAAATGGTAGATGACGCTGAATAATAAARCATCGAACTATGATCAATWWTTTRATCGATATTTGATCGGAAATCATTCGGGGACTTATGTTTCTCCCTCAGAATGCAYGTATGTTTRATGRTAACTAYATTTCACACCAACTCAATGGTTCGTGACGAGTGTAATCTTCCGACTTCCATGTTCGACTTACATCTTCAGTTATGGACGCTCTAGTTGCTTGAGCTAGTTTGGCAAGCTTGTTGGTGAATTCCAGTTCTGTGGGAAATACGAAAATGAAAAAATGAAATGAGTGACGGACTGACAGATAGATAAAAAGGGATGGAAGAATGGAGGAATAAATGAATAAATGAACAAAGAATACACCTCTACAATATCAATTTTATCATAACAACTACAAGTCGTTCAGTACCTAAATGAGCTCTTCTTTCTAAATATGTAGCGATATCTTTCGCATACTTTGACCACACTTTGGTTCTCTGAAGTGTTARGTCGACGCCATGCTCAAGACCAAACAGTGTCTTGTCCAATTCAGCAGCTTTTTGACCTGATATATCACGTGCTRAAGAAAATGAAGTCATACAGTAAGACGTAGAGTTGAAGCGCATTATGTCACTAGAATACYGTACGACRTAAGTCAATAWACGCTCATGGCAGCTAAAGCGCATTATTTTCATAAAATATTGTGATGTTATCTTACGRCATTCTTTCTTGTCAAAWCCTTTTCTGTCATCTCTGTAATCATCATCATCCTGCTCATCGTCCATGTCATCACCATCATCTTCTTCCATATCATCTTCATCATCGACTGGAAAATCCTCCAACGACTGCAGAACAACAATGAATTACATTAGAAAMAACGAATKAGGAGTAAATCTGATGWAAGAGAACATGTACGAAYGAACTCATTTTTGCTCGACTTTTATTCAAAAACATTAGCAAAATATCATGTGGTTAAACTTTTGCTTTACTTTGTTCTAGATCTGTCTTCTCATTTTTGCCAGTACCYCAATCAAGAATATCACACAAACTGTTCGTAAGAACAATACAGGCCCTCGGCTTACGCCTCGTACTGTAATCGAATTTTGTGGTATTTTGATTAGTTCAACACTCGTCCATCACATGAAAGCTGTGGTTTACAAACAGGAAATGTCGAATTAACTAATTCAATGGTTTTATCAAACAAAGTGGTCAGCGAGACATGCTGTCTTCTTGATACAGTAAATCTCTTGTATACGTGTTGGTATGTGCTAAATCAAGTTTTATTAAACTTAACTATCGTATCTTCGTACCTATCCTAACTCATATCAATGACATTAAAACTTGATAAAGCAAGACGCAAACTACATGAATCAAGGGCGTCCGCTTCAACATTTTTATCAGACTAGAAGTAACAGCCAAATGTTTGTAAAGTGGGCGTCTTGCAGTGTGCACTCTTAAATTATCATTTGTCTTGGTGTAAAAGTCATTGATGGAAAATACATCTGCACCAAAGAACGATCAATTATCGATAGTTTCAAACAGTGACGATAAATTATCGATTTTTGTCGATGCTTCCCATGCGTGCATCGAATCCAAGTATTGRCATCTTCTTTCTGTTTTYTACAAAYAGCTTTAGGTCTACCATAAATTAYGACTAAAACTATACCRATGAARATCGTGACCCKGTACTAAAAACTKCTTTGAYCAATGTTCACTYTGAACGTGCTGTACGTCTGAGCTGCACTACGTGATCAAACCGACAATTTCGTCACCACCCCATCCCCTGTTAGAAATACTTGAGATTTGTAACCTCTAAAATTATCCCAAAAGTCGCGCGCTTTCAATGTTAAATTTAGGTTTCTTGGACCTTAAACTACTTCTAGTGGAATAAGATTACTTGTTAAAGCATGTCGTGACACATCGTGTCTGCTGATACTAAGTWCATTAAACCTTGGATTATCATTTGTGTACATATGAAAGTACACACGAAKACAACCCTTGTTGTCGCTTGTTTGGTGCTTTGCTTATCAGCAGAACGAAGAKCAGGTCCATTTTCGATTTTACACACATCCCTTGCTGTACTGATTGAAATTGTGCTATGTTTTCAGCAAAGCGCATCCTAAAATAACATTGACAGCACTTTATTCAGCAGTCGATGGGCAAAATGGGAATGAAATTTCAAGCGTTAGTTAAGGATGCAGTGTTGCAGATGTGAAAGGAATCTTAAAAGTTGTATTTACTTCGACGTTGCACCAAAACGCATACCAAAGTAGCACTTGTACGACAAACAGACCTTCATGTGTTTTGAACAACAAAAATGTACATTTTACGCCATTCTTAAATGATTGTATTCTAGAAATGATCACCATACAAAGCATGCCGAAAGAGACAAAAAAATCTCAGTTCAAGAGTCAGCGAAAAACTTTGTGCATACCAAACTATCTCAAAATAGAAAAATCTCAACAATTATTGAACATTTGAGCCAATTTGGACGCCTTTTAGCTAAAATATGCAATAAGGGGATTCAAAAATATACTTATAATGTTCCTTTGAACAATTTCTAACGCAAACAGAAAATCGCACTTGAACTGAAAAAAGATATAAAGGTATAACAATAAACATCATAGTGCAATAAACAATAACTGTAAAACCACAAATGGCCTTGTAATTCAGAACGGTAAAACAGTCACTCTAACTGTCAAAACATCAGAGTTTTCAATAGATTTTTTGATGCAAAAAGGAAGAAATTAGTGAATACCACTTCTTCAAGCAAACTATAAACCAATTGTTCTTTATCTCGGGTTTTATGATATAAATAAACCATCTCGAAAAAGTGRAAAACTAAAACTAAAATTCCTCACGTATCATTCATTGTGGTAACCATCAAAAATGCCCCGATTTTTTTTCCGTGAAGCGTTGCATGTCGTTTTGTTTGCTGTGCTAGTATTTCTATATAACGACTTAGTTCAACAAAAAAGTCTTTAAAATATTGAAAATCACATGCAATATTTTTGCGTCTTTGTTATTCATGTACAAAAATATCCATCCTAAGCTGTGTGCTGTCGAAATATGCGCAATGAAAGACTTTTGAACAAATTCCCTTTAGACGGAAAGAAGAGTTAACTGTACTTACTTCTAACGAGTAATGTCGCGTTTTCACTGGAATACACGAAGCATAACGGAGAAGACTTGCCATAGATTTACTACGGTCACGGGAATCWTCAAGCAAAAGAATCATTGGGCGACTAAYGTTGTTAAAACTGTACTAAAGTTGCTTTTTGTCTTCAGAAATCCAATGTCATTACACTTTGAGAAGCTGTTAACAGACTCACTACAACTTTAAGAGAGTTCGTACTTCGCAAGTGAAAGGTATCCGTGCGAGAACAACAATATGAATGTTAAGTTACTTGGAATTCTGTCAGCAGTGATGAAAGCTTGTAAGGATGGGGTCTGTGGCATTGTAACTTCCGGTAAGAGAATGCAGGAATTTTAACCAATCAAATACCTGGACCACAATGTAATTGGAATACGTAAAACACATGCAGAAAGAGATTGCTTTTATCCCTTGGTAAATCTGTTCCGTTCGTCTATACTGAGGATAATTGTATCCAGTTTATAAATAAAGTTGCTAATTGTAATGTAATGACATGACATCCGTGTAGATTTATTAATTATTCATCAGTTTGACATTCTGAGTTTTTCACAGCATCAAAATGGCGCCAAGAGAAACACTGCAGTTTGTGGGTGTGTTATACCGGAAGTAATTTTTGTCATGCATGAGTCATCACTGACCAAATACAGCACTTCCGGTAATAGGGGTGAGGTTTAGCAATGAAAGATCAGGGAAAGACCCTAAACATCTATTTAAAGTCAAAGTTATGGCTTACTTTAAGTCAGTGAAAAAAAAAATCAATCGTAACTTTACATACGAAAAATTTCGAGAGCCCCGCTGTGACTAATCAGCGGTTTCCTTCAATAATCCGGAAGTAAAATCGATAAGGCATAAATCGTTCTTGATTGGTCGATAGATATGGAATAATTTTTACGCCGGKTTTYTGTACATGAAGTGGTTTCCGTGTTTCGGTACATTGTCATCACGTAAGATCTAAGAATAATGAGACAATATGTAATTATTTTTCTCTTTGATTGATATTTAAACGTTGTTAGTTTTCAAAATTCCAGCATGAAAAAACATTAGACAGGATGACAATTTTTCGAGATACTAAATTTAGAAAACGTAAAGACAGTAAGTTGAAAATTTGACTTTCGTACGTTTCATCTCAGATTACTACATTATTACTGTTTCATTACTAAAAGTGATAACATTGCTATTTCAGTGGCTTTTTATAATWAACTGATTACAAAATGCAGCGTTGTAGCGTAMCAGAAMAATGGAAGMAACACAATAACGTTAAAATGGGGACAATGAAACAAACACCGAMYCCTCAACTACCCAAAGGTTTTCAACTACTTCAGATCAAGTACCAGACGAAACGTCTGGCWAAAATGAAGACGGGATCCAAAAATAACCCTCCTTTTGTCCACGACGGCTAAAACATGCTGTTTGATTTAGCTAAGAAACAAACCTAAGCCAAGGCCATAAATYATAATCTTGTGAAAAACGTAGAAAGCCGGATAAACATAGACAAACCACTAAATGTCTYTTTCTAAAGTTAGTAAATGTATTTCACACATGTCGCCAAATGGCAAAGTTACAACTTCTGCCAGGATTGACATCGATGTAGGTGTGAGAAWTGAAATGTTGGAATTTGTGGTTGCCATGGGCGAAATGAAAATGAATCAATGAATGATTGGATGGATRAATCAAAAAGTGRGATTTAAAAAAGAAAATCACGGAACTGTTTGTCAAAGGTCGCTATCACAGCATCTTAACTGACAAAAACCTAACTAACACCTCAATTTCCGAAATACGAGGAATGTACAATAAAAAAGATGAACGAGACATCAACAGCTACACCATGGCATCTTTACTCCACTTCCGGTAGAGTATCGTGACAGCGTGACACGACGTCATTTCTCTTTTGAGGAAATATAAATATATATTTTCCTTTATACACTTATATTTTGTTGCTATGTTGAGAAATTTAACATTTCAATACCCTCGTGAACTTTTTCGACRAATACAACCGATTTTACATCGCGTTATCRTTGCCTTGCGTGACGCAGATGATGTCGTCATGAAATTCCATATGATGGGCGTACACTGAACTTTGTCACACATTCTTGAGCACGAAGCTTCACAGCTGAGTAATATTCTTGAAGCCGAGAAAATTTTAACATTGATACTATTTTATACTAGTTTCTTTGTTTTTCCTTTGAATTCGTGTAAAATATCAGCGGGTGTTCACAACAAATAATGATAGGAATTTGGATGTCTTTCATCCACTCCTCAGGGGTCATGACTCACTGCTACAAACATGTACTCTCTCCTCCCTCCCACAGTAATAATTATGGACACAATGTCCCCTCCTAGCCCCCCCATATAATTGAAAATAAATTTGTGAATGAGAAAATCGTTTTTTAAACGTATACTGGAGTATCCTGCAGTTATGGCCATTTTAAACATATCATCCAATTGATTTATAATACGATATCAAGAATTATTACAATACCAATAATAATTATTTGGAGAAATATATATTGATTAATAGCAAGACTTATATGCATAATAGCGATATATCAACTATAAGGAGTATACTATTGGAATTAAGGAGAATATTATATATTATAACATTAAGCCCATATTGTGAACATACAGCTCTGAATAATAAAATATAATAACTCACCCTGGAATTCTCTTGTAGGTCTTGGTCACCCATCAAAAAATCTGAAACGCTACAAAGAATCAAATATATTGTCACTAATTGCTGTTGATACAATGATATAAACTAAGTTATTTGAATATTTTGTATAAGACGTATTATAATGATCTTATGTGTGATATATCAATTTATTTGGCAGACTAAAAGGCACAAACACTACAACAAAATTCAATATACTGTGAACATTTGCCCTTATTTTGGATTTAGTCATACCATACTAATGTGTAGCACTTTCATGAGTGATATATCAATGTCAGTTTGACAGGCAAAGTCACATTACAACACAAATATGAAATACTCTGATTTTACATGCATTTTGTGCTGGGAATATAACAATTGAGGCAATAAAAGAAGTTGAAACTAAATAATGAAACTATATTAATACAGTTTTCAAGAAAAACATGAAAACTAGAATTAAAAACTATGCACTGCTGAGAACTGTACTATATTAATATTTTAAGCTGACAAAAATGCAAATACCACAGGAATTTCAGTTCAATATTTTGTATATAACAATGTATAGAGTGTTACTTACTCTAATTGTAGGTTAAAGCCTTGGGGTTAAATATACTTGTATATAATGTTTTTATATGTACTTCATCAATGTCTGGTTGACAGTTTTTGAGTCACAAATTGAAAGAATAAACAAGATCAGCTCAGTGTGACAGGAAGTACTTATGTCATGTAATAAAACACAGGGACCCCAACAACTCTATTGTCACACCCTCTACATCATTAATGATTGAATGATTTTAATCAATTATGGCATTATAAGCAACAAGAGGGATATTCTCAGAAAAAAGGAGGGGTAGTTTATATTGACACAAAAGGTAAACTTAGCTCTTAATGGCCTTGACCTTACACAATATCTTCACAATTCAATGAGTTTTAATTAATTATATTAATAAACAACTCGACAAGAATGTAGACATTTGTTTTCAGAAAAAAAGGAGGGGTAGGTTATATTGRCACGCAGATCTYTAAGACCACTTCCAACCGCATTGACCCTGCATGAATGACTTTTGATCATGTCATGTTGTAGGGTGTGAAAAGCCATGATCACAGTAAAAAGGAAATTCTATAAATTAATTAATTAATACTTTTTGATCATTTTTAATTGCTTTGCAAATTCTAAATTCAATGAACTACCAATCTGAGACACAAGGATGTTTAGTACCACATTAATAACAAGTGCAATTAATCATATGCAGTTTTTGCTTCAACTTTTGTATAAGTAATTATATCAAGGAATTTGTATAATCACAGTCAGGTATCCCAGGAAAACATACCATGAAGAAAAAAATCCCCTAAGGACAATATCAACTGCATGATCGCAATGTGATATTATGAGTTAATAATTCTAATATTAGCATATTAATAATATACAGGTAGCCCATCCCAGAACATTCTGAGAATATAAGGAAGAATATGACACACCTCATAAAAAAACAAACTAATTATTTAATATGTATTGGTGATATTATTATTGTACGATTCTGCCCTTTATTGACAGACCAACAACCAAGTACTACACCTACCAACGCAAACATCCTCATGAACTACTTCAACAACCTGATAGTTTAATCCTGGATTTTGTTCGTTTCGATATAGAGTATTAATTTTATCATTTCACAATATTATTGCTTAATAAATTGATGATAAAATCATAAATAACTTTTTTTTTTCTTAAATCTAAATAAACCCTCTAATAGTGAGAATTCATTATCATTAGCATCAATATATCCCTTAATATCACTGTCATCATTATATCATCATATCACCATTAATCATAATCACTAACAGCAATTTCAACCAATACTTCATATCAAAGAATCAACTGTGTAAATTCATCCCCCACCCCTCCCCTAGTGCAGATTAATCATTCCCTCAACTCCCCCAATATCATTTCCTGCAGTAGAAGGGGTGGAGAATAGATTTATACATACTAGTCAATGAATCATGTATCGCAACACTGTTATCATTGTAACATTATCATCACCATCATCACCATCATCARGCTAGTCAATGAATCATGCATCACAACGCTGTTATCATTGCAACATTATTATCATTATCACAATCGTAGACATCATCATTATTACAATCATAAACATCATCATTATCACTATCATAAACATCATCATTAAAATAACATTGCATATACATACCTGCTACTAAAGGCCAGAGCCAGCTGATCAATAGACTCACAAAACTCCTCTGGAGGTTGATCTGACTCATCATAATTGTGACTTTTGACTTTATTAATAAGGGTACCAGCTGCTGCAAGTATGTCCGTAGAATGGAGGGGCTCATATTGATTAAGGACCCCTTTTAGGATAGACAGTACCTCCCCAAGTCTTTCATGTGCCTTTACTTCTGGAGGTTTGCTGTCTACAGGGCTTTCTGTTGATAAAAGACAAAGATATCATTGATTTAAGACAAACTTTTATGATGAACCTGTTAAAAGCAAAATATTGCATCAAGGCAATTTAACATGTTTTTATAAGCTTAATCTGTCTCGTTGACAAGACTCACAAATCTCAAAGCATACAAAAATTTTTGTATTGTGACACTTGGCTGATGTATCAAAAAAAAAAGTTTTTTGCTATCAAAAAGGTTACTGGTTTCATACTGATAACAAAAGATCAAGGTTTATATACATAAGGTAAACCCATTAAACACATGGTATTTAACCTTTTGAAACCTCAATTAAGTGGAATCTACTTGGACTTACAAGAAATAACAACAGAAATGGAATTCAGTAACAGGTAAAAATAAAACAATATTTGTTCACTAAACTTTTAAATAACCTTTTGAGCCCTCTTGCATCCAAAAAAACCTTAGCATAATTTGTTTAAATATATAAAAATTGCCATCTTTGACTTTTTAACGATTACGGACAGCAACATTAAACAACTGATCTTTTTTAAAACAGAAAAAAAATTCTTGCAAATTGTAGGTTGCCAGTGAGCGTTTAAAGCATTTTCGTTCAGTCACCCAGCTTGCGTTCTGTAGCACTGTGATGGCTATAACCACAATATGAGTGTTAATGATAACCACACTTAACAATAAATGCTTAGTACAGTGCTATGCACAAAGTGCTTTTTCAGTCTTTGACTGACCAATAAAAAGTTGAAAAAGTGATCTCACATAGACAAATATCTGGACAAAGACAGTACAATTATATGCATGTCATCTTCAGTTTTCTCCATTAAATGTAATTTTAACATTTAAACTTAAAATTGAATATAAATTTAAAAAAATGCCATATTTTAGTAATTCCTTTTTTAGCATGCAATATTAAAACCTGCAATAATGAAGGTCAATAAGCTGATGAAATATATCACAAAAATATATGAAAAAATAACCAATTGTCACAAAAAAGAACAAGCTAAAAACAGAATTTATATAAGAACACTGTATCGATTTTAATTGATTCTAGAATAAAATAATAAAAACACGTAAACTAGGCAACCGTACCATGGAATCGCAATTAGGTCTGGGTTGAGTAGATATGATAGATCAAGTAGTCACGTCATATTTATAGAATGGGAGAGAAACTATGTACATGTACCATATATTATTTTGGTCAGATTTTCAACCAATTTGTCACTACAAATTATTGTTTTTCTAGGTGCTAAATGTCTGGAAATTATCGCTTGAAAAACTATACTTTCTATCAAAGATTCTTTTGAATTCCTAACATAACTCCACTTCAAGAAGACTTGTATGTTAACAAATGCCAAGTTGTTCATTGCAAGTCAAAACAGTTTGCTCATTCAAATAAACATTTTGGAGTAAAAGGAAATAATCCGTTAAAATAGTTCTGCAAGTAAGTAGGTTGATTCATGCTAATCGTTGTAAAAGAGATATCATACGATAATCAAAGTTTTCGTTGTATCAAAGATTAGCATTATAAAAGAATACCTCTGGAGATTTTTGTAAACAATTCAACAATTATCTTAACTAGCCACTGAGGTGCATAATTATACCTGATTCCTCGGAGAATGTGTTCCTTAGAGCCCCAAGAGCTTCTGAAAAAGCTCTTACGTGATAAGTCAAGGCAATTATATCGTCCTGATCGACCATTGGGAGCTCTATCAAATCGCTGTAAACACTGCTTTCACTGTTGACCGACCCGCTACGATCAGCGCTACGATCGTGTCCGAGCGAAGTCAAAGATTCTCGGTGATTCAAAGCACGAATTTGCGGTCGCGGGCTTCGAATAACTACTTTTGCCTCTGAACTCAATGTCGATGAACTGCTGGGACTTTCTAAAACATCACAGTCATTTTCTTTAGTATATAATGAAGAGTTTGTGATCTCTTGACCATTATTGAAGTTAGTTTCTGCACTTGGAAGAACTCGTCTCGCGACCTCCTTAATTTAAAACAACCAACAAAAATATAATTTTCAGATTAACGACACCTCTAAAAATAACATAAAGACTTCATCAAATGCTTTGCTATTTCAAAAATCTACCAACCGGGGTTAGAGGCCGAAATATTTGACTCTGAGACGTAGAACTTGCAGAAAGTTGACTCGAACTGCCAGCTTGTGCCTTGGGTTTCCGCTTGATGGATATCGATGGAAATTTTCCTTTCACTGACGACATTCCTAGCCTAATTCCAGTCCCTAKCGTTTGACTCACATCTCTCCAGCTAAAGTTCTATAATTGCTTTCTAGCCTATCAAAATTGGTCAAAAACAAAGTCCAATATCATCCYGCTAGTGCGGCCATTTTGCAAGTATCGGGAAACATATTTAGTGGCATAAATTAACTTTGATTGACACCTATTTGACGTCTATTAGTTTAGGAATCACATACTTAATCACGTGGCAATATTGAGAGTTTGGATTGGTTAAATTTGACATCGCTATTAATTTAGCTACTACTTAGTGAAATTATTGTTTTGATTTGAAATTATCTACCATTAGTAATTACAMCCGATCACACGAAATAAAAACATTTAGATTTGTATGAAAAGTCTTCAAGTTGTTTCCTCATTCCTACGGGGTGGAATGAGTTTAAATCGSTTTTCTTAKAGTCTTCGATACCATGGTATGCCTGGCAATTTTGCAATTCCTGGACAGTGTGTATTGTTTCGCAACACCTAGCGGAAATCAAAATTGTTGCAAACTACACAGGACTGCTGAGCTGAAACAGTTTCGTATTTGAGCTTCACATTGACTTCATGCTTTTGAAGTAGTTGATTACGATATGTCCGGCACACTGCATGAATACGTGCGCACATACGATACGTACGCGCATACGATACTCTTGTCACACATTACTGTAGTAATCGATAGTAAATAAGTCCTACCAGGGATAAACGGAAAATTGAAGTTCTCTTCTTCTTCCTCTTCTGTCTCAGTCTCGTCTATTGAAGAAATTGTTTCTGAAAAATGGGTCAGATTACGTTAATCTATCAGTTCATCATTGTTATCCCGTCTGTCGGGTTTTTTTTTCTATGTTTTTTAGTACTTTTAAATTCAGTATCTCTTATTTCCGTTTCATAACTTATTTCCATTCTCAGTTGTCAGGAGTTGATCAAATTACAAAAAAGTCCCGACACCATATGATACTCAACAAACATGTGAAGATGAACCGTCCTTACCAATGCTAACGGCTGCAGAATCTCCTACATTGTTTTTTGAAAAATCTTCACCATTGACTCTCACAACTGGAGACTCAAGAACACGTTGAACAGTCAGGCTATCAGCTACACCTAGRAGCACATGTATACATGAAAGATGCAATGTCGTTTTGAGGTATAATCATTGAGCACAGCTTTTACTTTTTCTTTTTACATCCTCCCCCGYATCGCATTCCATGGTTAAATTTACCTCTTTCTCGTATTTCTTTCAGTTTTAGCATTGGGGACCATAAGCGTTTATTATCGCCAACAATTAAACTTCGTGAACGTTTTTCTACAAAGGAAAATAAATGAACTTCAAAAATCACGTCAGGTTATACTACAGAAGTTACTAAACTTGTGGATTTTAGATGCCAGGGCTATCATTGTGATGCTTATTTTGCGCGGAATTCGATTGATTTTCTTTCATCGCGGATATACCAGGTTACTTCATTGCGCGCCATAAATGTTAAACACGGCACAACAGCGAGCATCTATTTATAACATGAGTGTTACCTTTAGTTTTTGGTAATTTTAACGATGACAGTGACCACCCCGCTTTATCTAGACTCATAGACCGCTTGTAAAACACTGAAAAAAGAGGTAGTTACTTACTTAGGCAAGAACTTACTTATATGCTACACCATAGTGGCTCATCCGTGTTACGAACGGCCACAAAAATCACATTTAATTAATTTTCAGAAAATCAGAATGATGGGTCATCATATCCGTCTATCAGTTGCTATGAAAGCAAACCTGGCGTCATTGAAGATGGGAGGGGAGGGAAGGGGTCCCGGTGTCAGTATGTCAGCTATAAACGCTAAATGACGTCACATCCAAAAAGTTGTATAATCATGTTGATCATAATACTAACATGCAATCCCTACGTACCTTTATTCTGCAGTTTAGAGTCTTCTTTTCGAGGTTTTCCACCCAGTCTCGGTGATCCGCTATATTCTGGCGAGCTTAAACCGTCAGGGCTATCAGCTCCCTTGATCTCTACAATGAACGCGTGTAATTTTAAATCGTTTTATGCGATATCACTGGCAAAAATCGCGCGTTTTAAAGGTTGTAAATTTGATGTAAATATGATGTAAGTGTCCAAAATTCTGTAAATCTGATGTAAATGATTTCCATTAAATTTACAGAATTTTGGACACTTACATCATATTTACACCAAATTTACAACCTTTAAAGCGCGCGATTTTTTCCAGTGTATATAACAACAACAACACCAACAACCACAACAACAACAACAACATCAGCACCCAGAATACAGCAAACAATATGATGTAATGATGTAATTTTCCAGCTCAGTTTTGTTTACTTTTTGCGAATGCAAACTTTGCAAGACTTGCGTGCAGTTTAAAATCTTCATGTGATACCTATCGCAGTACAAATTGCTTATACAAGAAAACACAATTATTTGAATTTTAGCTAAACAATGGGACAAACTACAATTTAAAATTGATTTTAAGTACTTATTCAGTTAATGCAGTAAGGTGATAACTGCCTTCCAAACTCAAGACATGTCAAGACGTTTGTTATTTCAATCAAAACTTTGGACTTTTATTTCAATATTTTTCAACAAGGAAACGTTGATTCGCACGAAATCATGATAAAATCAATATGCTTTGGTGACGTATGTTGTGTTTCCTGTTTTCGTATCATCTTCGTCTATACACCTGTTTCAGATGCAAATGTGCCAGCCAGTCAAATCCAGCTAAAATCACAACCATGTACAACATTTATTTTCACTCAGTTGCGCGTAATTTTGCGCAGTTTGTATAAATAACACCCTAGATCAACCACTTAATTAACGCATAGTAAGAACCCCAGTAAGGGCTTAATCCATATTACATTATACATGATTTACGATTAAGTATACCTTCGTTCTCAGACTCTTCTCTCTCAGAAAGCTGTCCATTAGAAGGGAAAGTCCTTCTTCTTAGAATAGGACTTAGATGTAGAGAGGCCCAGCTCATACTCCGCCGAGATAAYCTMGAGGAGGTTTTGCTGTTTTCTGTCATTACAACGCGCTTATGCTTACCGAAGGATTGATGTCGAAACTCTTGACGCTAGCGTCATCYTTTTTTGTTCTTGATAAACCTATCTAACAGCCCCAGGTCTTACAATTCTTTTTAAAAAGCCATGGTGCACTTCTTATTTACATCTTTTTGGTATATACATAAGTAACTTATAGAAAACGTAGGTTTGCGTCGGTGTAGATCACGGAGAATGCGCACTGATTACCGCTCAATTCCCAATGGGAATGATTACAAAACACGCTTTGTAGAAACTTGAATAATATGGAACTTAGAAAAGACAACAAAGAATAATATTCTAAACAACAAGAGGGATTAATAATGATAATTTATTGATCAATCATCCTGAACCTGTTTATGGGTAATTATAAACTTGTCGTTGCGACATTTGTCTGCACTTTTATCACGAATTGCGCGACTGAATATAAGACATATAAGGTGAGATCTTTTATTGAGGTTTTACGATTTTTAAGATTTAAAAAATCTTTCATGAAATATTGTGTACGCTTAAGGTTTTTATCTTAAGTTGACTTGCGCTGTAAAATTTTGAATGAATAATATCGCAATTTCTTATACTTTTTTCCTGCCGTCATGACATTCATTTCGGAATTTTTTCAAGGTCCTTTTTCATAGCCTGCTTTATTTTCTCCACCAAGCAGCGCGCCTTCAAGCAATTAACTGATAAACTTGTGCATATTTATTCACACTGTAAGCAAAATACATGTCTTTCTTTATACATCTACTTTTCCGTTATAGGAAACATGTACAATTACAATCACATTCTTATTCTTTCACTGTCAAGTAGACCGTTGATTTCATAATTTACAGGAAGAGCGGTCTGCACGCAAGCTATCTTGGAGTCTCTCTCGTAAAACCGTGAACCAAATAGTAATATTTACAATAAAAGCTAAAAGCTATAGCTGTACGTGAACAAGCTACTGGAAAAGAATGAAATTAGAACATCAGCCCAACGCGCTTTCTTAGACGGCATCTCTTCGCAGTGTAGGCAACAAATGAACGTTCGTTATATCATAGTTTACTTCGTCTGTTTTCTAATTGTAGGGATCGTGAATGTTACTCTGAAGGCTGCATTGAAAGTCAGCAAAAGCTTTCTCTGCAAATTCTTTTCAAATGTGCTGGTGTTTAATATCGCTTTTCTACTGACTTCCTTTACTCCTTTAGGAACATGGAGCCCAATACGGTATGAAAAAGAACACTAGACGTTTAAAAAGCACTCTTAGGCTTTTGACCGTCGAACATCTCACGTGCCTACTTGAGCCTGAACCATGGCACTCCGTTTGAAAAACAGGAATCCCATAGTACGACGAAATAAGGATTTCAACACTATTTTGTAACACCAACGAGGCCTCTTTTGAGCGCATCCAATAATCGATCAATGCTGACCATACCATCACCAGTGCTACTGACGTCAATGGCCTCCTCGATGACGTCACTACCAAATCCAAGACGATAAACCAGGTTATAATTGGTGATCAGTCTACTGATGACGTCATACTCAAGGAAACCTTAAATACAAAAAATTAATCAAATTAATCATTCTATTGATGGTTTTCAACCATTCCCAGGAGAGAAAGTTAAACAAAAGATGTCCGCCATTGCTGGTGGACCTGACAAAAGAAAACCACCACCGTGACTGGTGGACCTATTTGTTTTGTAAAGAAGATAAGTTTAACACCGTAAAAAAGTATGGGAAATAACTTACTGACGTTTCGGATGTTAATCCTTCGTCGGAGTATTTGTTTTGATCACTCTCATGGGAATGGTTGAAAACCATCAATACTTGATTGTTTTTGCCAATGTCTATCTAGTCTGTGCTACATGCAAATAAATACATACCTGATCCTGTACTGTCATAAAGAAACAAAGCATGTGCAAGACGAAGAAAGCTCTTTACCGGACTGTCCTCAGAATATTCTGCTGGTCTAATTCCATCTTTTACATA